TAAAAATCACTGATGTTATTAATTACTTCTGGCGACTTTTAAGAATATTCTCGCTGGTTAAGATAAGACAGTTTAATAAACGAAATGTTTTATAATCCAAAAATCTATAAATTCCGTTCATCTTCGGAACAATAATTATTAAAGCTTCATTTCTTTGTTTATTCATTTATTATTATATCTTTAAATAGAACTCAAAGTTGCAAAAGTTTGAAAGCTTTTATCAGACTCTCTATATTAAGATACATATAATATTAATCGAAACGTACTGCCAGTGAGATCTACGATTTGTTCGGCAACTCTTAAAGCAACCCTCGAATCCACTGCCGACGTCGTGGTGGTCGATCGTCGAGTTATTAAACGCCCGTTTCGCGTGTACACCGAGTTAGATCGCGCCGACCGAAATCAGAGTATAGGAAGTCGAGGAACATATATCTCTCCATGCAAATTACTTCTACTTTGTATGCGGAATCGATAGCACCGAGGAATTTTCCTGTACCTCGCACGTACCCCGTATCATAATATACAGATAAAGATCGTTACGCGGCAGCTAGCGCGAACTTTGCTAGGATAGAATGTGCTTTCATTCCTCGACGAAATTTAATTTCGCGGCAATCCTATAGTTTCTCTTCATGCATCCGTTCGCGCTACTAAGGCTCGGGTTCTGGTCTTTGAAAGGAGAACCGAATGCACGTGGGTTTGACCTATGATATCGTTAGAGAAATGCTTGCAACTTGGCAACCGTGTAATCTGATCGTCATTTTCATCGTGCTTTTGCATTCGCATTCGCGTTTGTCAATCTTTATCATCTATTACCAATCACTTCTAGCTGAATGATAGCCAAGTCCGAAATTAAAACAGAGGATACTGAATATTACCTAAAGTAATACACATGTACACGAATATATGTTTTGAATGCTGAGAATGCCTTTGAATTTTTAATTTGCTGATTTAATTCAACACATATCTGGCTATTATGTTCGGGTCAGGCCGGAGTAATTTGTCTACGTTTTAATGTTGCGATGCAATCTTTTCTGATATAAATAATATAAACTTTAAGAATTCAAAACATCCACAAAGTAATTAGACACTGTATGTATGTATACACATAATCATCATCCGTCGTGCTGAAAATATTTTTTTATATTTTCATTGCACGTCGCGCACTCAAGTCCGTAAAAGAGAAGCGATGAGGGCGGCCTTTCGGCTGCTTTTCGCACCATTGACATTTCGAAGAGAGTCGGTTCTGCGGGCGCGAATGGAATGCACGGTATTCCGCACAAAAGGCCCTTTTCGTACACTCGCACGGACTCGTGAGTGCTTTTTCCACCGCGCCATTACTTCGCGCCTGTACGAATGACCCAGATTTCGCGGCGTCGAACGAATGTGCCCGCTTGTTCACGTGTACGCTCGGAACTCGTACGTAAAGACACTTGCCAGATTTTTCCCCTTCCATCTTCACTCAACCCCTTTCGCTCTCGCGGTTCACCTACTTCCGCCCGAAGCTTTCTTGTGCTCGCCGACCAGAGATCATCTCGTTTGGGTATCTTTCAACGTTTCATCGCCGACTACATCCGCTTCGATTTTGTTTAAAAAAAAATATATCATTTCACGTGTCCTGCTATGCGAACTCGGATCCTTCAGTCCCTTTTCATTCTTCCTGCTGTCATCTCCATCTTTTTCATTACGTTACTTGCTGTATTTTCGTTTTTTATTGTTTCGGTTTTTTTTACGAGTTACTGAATGTGTTTTTGTTGTTTAATAACATTTGGCGGATTGCATTTCAGTGAATTCTATTTGACTACAATTCTCGTTTAGAAACAAAAATAATAGAATTGTATTATTTAGTCTTTTATCTCAATAGAATTTCTAATAAATATACAACTATATACAAGAGCTTCCGCGTTTTGTGCCATTAATCATCGTGTGTGCACGAGTTTTCTTTTAATCACGCAACAGTATTTGCACTAAATATAATAATAAACAACTACGAATAAGGAATCGAAAGATAAAGATTTCTCAAATCCCATTCAGTTTCAAAATAAAATAAATATATCTATTTATCCGTCTATTTATCACTAGCTTTTTTTTTAGTAACGATCGAATTTCCTATCGTGAAGCTTCGTAGATGTTCCTCGCGACATTTTGCCGTTGTATGAAGCACTCTAACTTACATTTACGACAAAAGCATCTGCCAAGGAGCTAAGCGTTCTCGCAGACGTAAACACCTGAAGAATGGGCGCTCTTCTCGAGAGCATATTCCTCCGTTCTCCGGTGAAGCGCCGTGGGGTCGAGAGCCAACGAATGACTCGCGCCAAGTTGAGAGAGAAGAAAACCAATATTTTGGCCGATATAGCGTGCGATAAGCTTGTAATCCGAGATGAATATTGACGCGCAATATTTTGTTTGACACGAGTCAATTTTCCAACTCGCATAACAATTATCTTGCCCGCTACGGATTACGACGAGGATGGCTTTATCGACGTTACGTATTTTCAATGTACGCGGTTATCCTGGCAGAGACTGTTGAAACGTTAACGCCTTTAGAAGTAGCTTTGAACGTAGTGTACCTGATGTAATTTACGTTAACGGGGCTCAGCGTTGCACTTTACCGGTTATTTCTAACGATGAAAGGGAAACGAGCTGTATCAAGTTGCGTCTTGCCGCGACGTGATCGACTAGTAAAATTAAGTTAGCGAAGATCGCAACTCGAGGAGGAATCGATTTCTCTTCTAAACTGAATCAAGGGAATTTGAAACCACTATAACAAAGTAGCTCGTGCGCGCGCACACGCAATCAAAATGTTGTCAATAAGATATTGTAAACGTTAAAGCTCCCATTCCGGGGCGCATTTTCCCTGCGGTATTTTCATCTTTAATGATATTTTGCGTTTGCACATGCTAAAAATAAAAAAGAAAAGAAAGAATGAGTAATGTAGCCTTCCTCCCCGTTGCAATTTGTCAATCTGAGTTTCGCATTTTGTCGCTTTTCAGACTGACAGAGGCGCACCGGAACGCCATTCGGGCGATCAGGAAGATCAAGTACTTCGTGGCTCGCAGAAAGTTTCAACAGGCACGGAAACCGTATGACGTCCGTGACGTCATCGAGCAATACAGCCAAGGTCATCTAAATATGATGGTGCGGATTAAGGTGAGTCGATCCTGAATATATACATCTACCACTTTGAAGATTAGAAGAGAGATTTAATAGAGACAGTCGGTTATTTCAGAGAACATCGTCTCGTCCGCGAGACGAGTCGCTGTGACTCTCGACAAATCATTCCGAGTCATTTGTCGTGTGAGTTAATGGCACACGGCAGGACAAGCCTGTGTCCACCGTGTAATAAGCTGTAATTGCTCTTATTTGACAGATTATTGAGCGAATGGTCCCAGTTCCGTGTTTAATCGGCCGTGCGCGATTGTCAACGATTAGTCCGACACGCAATATCGAAGGGTATGTCGCGCGAAATCCGTGTTGGTTCGTGGGACAATGTTAACCGTCCGTACACGGCGCGAAACAACCGTCTGTTAATCGGGGAATGGTCGTTGCGGCTCACAGCTACACTTGTCCGACGACAAAGATCGATCTCACGTATCACACGGGTTCATTAATACTTTAACACGTGAATTTCGGCGCTCTTTATGTGAAAAAACGTATATTTTATATGTACACTAATTGTAAGAGGGAGGCTGCAATCTCAAAAGGCAAGAAGCTACTTGTCTTTTTAAAATAAAATAGAATAAATTAAAAATATCACCTTTGCCCGTTGAAAATAAATTTTCATGGATATTTTCTTTCTAACTTTCGTATGCAATATAATATAAAACAAAAAAATTGTCATTTTCGGTTCAATATGTCATAATATTGATAATATTTCATATATTTAATACGATATATTCAGCATTTAATATTAAATTGTATTCAATAATATTTGTCGCCGATATTATTAATTTACGTGTGAACAATAGGTCGATGTCTATCGTTGGATGATTACTATGGAAAGAATGACGACGTTAAAAAGCTGGCAAAGACAAAACGTCAATCACGGTAAACTCACTTCTGTGAGCACACTGTCTTTTGTTTGCCGAAGAAGCTTCGGTACTTTGCGACGAGCGAATATAGGGTTCTATTATATGTATATCGAGGAGATCGATAACATCCTCGAGCTCGGTATTTCGTAGCGAGTCTTGATGACAAAATTTCGTACTTGCTCGCTTAAGCGCAACGAGGGCTCATTTGCGCAACCCTTAATTATAGCGCCGCGTTAATTCTAATCTCGAAATTTCGCCTCTTATGTGTAATTTTGCCATGTGTAGTGCATATTGTAAGACTGCGATAATTTCGCGAATTTGCTTCGTTATTTTAACCAGATGATTGCATCAGATTGCAGAAACGACCAGAAAACGGGAGGCTGAGAGGCGAAGGTGTAAAACAATATTAATTAACAATATGAAATATTAACGGCGAATAATGATTTCTCTTTTCACGTCTGCGCCGCTCGTCGACCATCGCGTTTTTCGGGGTAGATTTACGGGCGGTTGATTGCATGTTCGATTTGTCCGCAGGAGTTGCAGAGGAGATTGGATCAGACCCTGGGTAAACCGGGGAGCTACCTGGCGGGAATCGACCGGGCTGGCAACGTGAAACCCATGACGATTGGCGCGCGTTTATACCGAGTGGAGCAGCAGGTGCGTCTTTCATTTTAATTACCGTAATGTTTCTTTTATGAATATCTAACTGTCCCAATTCCGTGTAGCTTAGCGTGTGTGTGTGTGTGTGAGAGAATCTATTTGTGGGCTGAATTTGCGGGAGTGATGCATAATTGAATAACCTACTTTTAAATCCATATTTCTCAAAAATTATATTTATGAATTTATTATGAGCTTTCCACAACTTTCAGTATGAAAAAAAAACATACAAATAATGCAGTTAAGAAAAATGTAAACAAAATTGTAGCTCTTTTGATAGTCGATACGAATTTGATTACGTAAATTGCGGGAATATTATGTCGTACGTTTTCATAATTTTTAAGAAATTTGAAATTAAAAGTGTAAAAAAGGAAAAACTTGTTTTTACGTAATTTTGCTTTATTTCCAAATTATTATTATTCAAATTTTCAATCTTTAAAAGAAATTTATTGTGAAAAATCAAATTAATAAGATTTTCACGATTAAATATTAAATTTATTACATGTCTGAAAAAGATTTTGATTTCTATAAGCCGTTTTAAAGACAATTTATTGAACGTTTGGTGCTGCTGTTTAATATTCATTAATCTTTCATTTAAATCTGAAGAAAAATACCTTGGAAATGAGGGAATTTTCTCAAAGAATTTTTTCCCTATTATTTTCGAGTAAGCACGTGACGTAAATCGAAGCGCTAACTTTTCCCTCGACGAGAATTTATGGTCGAGTGCATCGATACGAATTTTTTTGCTTTCAGCTGTCGGTGATGGACAAGAAGTTGGATCAGTTGGTATATGTGTTAAATGCGGTAGCGCAGAAACAGCAGATACCTCTGCGTAGCATAGAGGACGATGTGTAACAGAGAGCCCCCGGCGAACTCGTGCAATCTGTTTTACAATCATCCGCGGTTCCACGGATTCTGCCTCGCGTTACTATAACCACGGTAACGCCAAATATGTTCAGCGAGGGCTCCTAACATGGGAGATGGCACCCGCCCGATTGTGCTGTCCCGAGCATGTCCGGAAAGTACAAATATCATAGCGAATGCTGTTCGACTCCATTCTCGAGAGATTGCGATCGGAAGACGAAACCGAAGAGACCGCTATTAGTATTGGCAATTTTGGCGACCCTTACAACTATTGTACATTGTAGTCACAGAGGTCCATTCTTACTTCCTCGATCTTATAACTCGATGGAATTACAATCGTCGCCATCACTGCCAACGCTATCGCGTGTCTCATTAACGGAAGAACGATATCTCCGCGAAAGGAATACGTTGTTGACTCGAGGCTGAGAGGAGTCCTCGAGTGTAAACGCAAACGACGAAGTCAAACGCACAGGATGGATAATCGAATCAATGATAATCGAATCAGGCGTAGAGCCAGGGCATAGAACCACCACCGTAGATCGCGGTTGCTGTATACGCGAAGTGATATATTTCGTCGCACAGAGGCGAAAATATCGCCGAGATCGATCTTGTCGTCAGGAAGAAAGAAAGGATCATCGACTCTGTTCCATCTTTTCAGCTCGCCGAAATGGATAAATGCCAATGGGAACATCACTCGGGCCAACTAGAAGTAATAAGGAGGAACAATAAGCAACACTGAACTTCCTAGAGCAGATTTTAATTAAACTGTCATAGACTGTCGATCGTTCTGCCGGTCGGCTGATCGTTCGTGAAGGGGCGGAACCGCTTATCGGTCCCAATGCGATTCCAACGGTTCTGCAGGGTTTACAATTTCAAATTGTGGTTCCGTTTTGTTTTCGACTCTCGACACGGAGGTCTCGCAAAAGTAGAACCAGTTCAGGACTGTCGCTCGCGGAGTGTTTCCAGTTTCGATTTCGCGAGCGCGCGCTCTCTCGATTTATTTCTATCCCGACTTTAATTCTTCGGCCTAGCACAAATATAGATACTCGGAGATAAGCCCGCTTCAAGCCCACGTATACGATTTCTCCATCGTCTTTTCTTTTTCTTTTTTACGGCATTGCCCGATCGCACTTGCCTGCAGCGCTTGTTCCTAAAGAGCAATACGTCTACGTAGAATTTAGATACCGCGTGCTGCTCCGTGAATTCGCGATATGCAATATGTACGTATCCATAATATTAGTCTTCGATACACGCGTGAGAACGTTTTAACGAATTATAAGGATACGCCTCGAGAACGGAGATAGGGCGAAAGGGAAAAGTGTATATATCGTGTGGAGGCGTGTCACTCTCTTGTGCATATAAATACAATTTATATTTTATACGTACATTATTTATGGAACATTTTAAGATCGGAGACGTGGCACCACGATCTTGAACCCCGCGCGTGACTCACCGCGTTACAAAGCTCTCTTACTTATTGTTAGGATCAAAGCCACGAACCGCGACGCGGCACGGAACTCTCAGACGAGCAATCTAACAATTTTTTCTTAAATTAGATTGATCGAACCGACACAAGGGATAGTTGCAGTTCTTATGATTTCTCGACTGCCAAAACTAGATCTAAACGAGACGAGCAATACAATGTTAATAAGTTCAGATAGACGGATTCGCGTCGCCTCGCGACTTGCGGTTTTGTCGTCGATCGATTAACGGCCAGTCTTTCGCGGGCGGGAGAGCGTTCTTTGCCAGGTGGACCTATCGCACTTAATATATCTATCACCTCTTATATATATATTATATATATTATTATGTACATATATACAGTTGAGGATAGATTTAGCAACTTTCTTAAACCGAGCGGCTTCTAAGAGTATTTTTAATCACACAGAGAGAGACATATTATATGTATACATATACATTATATATACATTATATACATACATATATAATATAAATGAATATATATATATATACATAGGTGTAGGGTCCAAAATTATACACATTTTACAAGACTTTCTCGTGAACCAAAACACCACGCTTTACTGCTGCAATGGACGCGGTGCTTGATTCGAGTCGATCAATTCGTTGCATCAGCGGGATATACATATATATTTCGCCGGTCGAGCACACTTGATATTATGTGCACTGTGTCTACTTCGTTTTACGCGTGTAAACATTACAAAACTTGTCTCTACACTTATTTTTATACCGTAATATTTTTGTATCGTACCAGTTTCCTTCGTATTTTTTCATGCTGGATGTACATATATGTGGTATTACATACGCGTAGTATTGTACAAAATAATTTTTCATTTATGTTTAATGCTCAATTGTTCTTGAATCAAGCACAATCTCCATCGATTATAATAAAATGGTAGTCAAGTATCGATAACTTTGAGGAAGCGGAATTTAACAAATTAGCCTGTCCTCGAGGAGGACAGGTACGTTTTAAATAATGTGCTGTTATCAAACTTTGCCCGTTTGCTACCAAACGCGTTGCTGACTTTTAATTTTCGACAAGTATATAATGAATACTCAAGAAACCCTCCAATTTTGATAATACTAATCGAATAATGTATCGAATACTCAGCAGACTTTTGACAATTTTACACGGTCCTACGTGTATCTCGATCAATTTTTTTAAATCGAATCTCGCGATGCTTGGCCATCAGTTTATTGTAAGTGTGTATCTCATCGAAATATGTGAAGAAAGTGCACTGGAAAAAGTAAGCAAAATACTCTATAAAACACGCTTTAGCCTATACGTGCGTACGAGCACACTCTACGGTGCCTCTCACTTAATTTACTCCACTTTAACACAATCGAGTATATAATAAAACTTACGATAATGTATAGATCATAAATGATTATATATATATACATAGATAACGGCAATGCGACTACATGTTATAGCTCTTGCGATACGTGATGGCGCGGCGTGACGAAGAATTTTTCATTTATCTGACAATTGTAAAATATGTTCATATTTTCAATTTCGTCTTGTTCGACTCTCGCAAAACTGCGAACTTGTCAAGTTTACCTGTTCGAGTGGTTTAAACAGATAATGGAAAATTCATTGTACAGCGCGCGCGTAAAGAGACCTGAGCATCGGTGAGAAAGAGCACGTGCACGATGAACGAAATTTAGGTATTATACAATCATGAGTAGGTAGAAGTGGTTATCATTCTAGAAGTAGAGACAATCAATAAACGTCATCAACGTGGCGTTATATGAAAATCAAATTTCCTTTCTACCATTTCGCGATCTACCGAATGGCATTCTCGATGTAAACGATTTAGTCAACGAAGTACATAAAATAAGTTGATGAATTCCATTTATAAATACGTAGAGATCGAAGATATTCAATGACCTCTCTAAGCACATTGTTATTTCGTTATATGTGTAAATTATCATTCCGATGTTATTGTTCGTACAACTGGAGAAAAGGTGATGTATAAATCGAAAATGTAGAAAAACATTTTTCTATAAAATTTTATTGTTCTACATTTCGGATTTATTTCTCTATGCGGAACGACCTCTCTTTCCCAGTTGTCGCTGGGCAATAACTCTCTAATTACTTTGTACGAAATATATTTTTTTGTGGAAGGAGCTCAAATATATATTATATTAATTAAGAATTTTATTTTTTATTCTATAAACTGCGGGGAAGAGTGTTGGATTTTTTATTTATATGTATAAAAGTTCTAATTGAAACTGTTGCAATCTTAAAAAATTTCTGCGATTTGTTTCAATATAATTGAATCATGATGGATCGAAAACATTAATTATAATTTTCTTTGAAAATCGTGATAATTAATTGTTGCAAAATAATTAAAAAGAGATATATAATTGTAGATACGAATAAATTTCTAGTATTATATATATATATATATATATATATATATATATATATCACAGAATACTCTTATAAAGGATCTCAAAATGCAAGTAGTGTTCGTGAATCGGCCGAAAAAAATATGTAATATAATTTTTATCATTAAACGTATGTATACATTATACATAATAAACACGCAAACCGTGTACTCACGCGATCGGGTTAGTAGAGTTAGTAGAGTATATACATACTTAGTAATAGTAAGGCGACAAACTAGACTTATTGCATACAAATGATAAGTCGTCTTTTCCTACAATAAATTTAATTAAACGCGAATATATCAACATTAAACTAGTAATAACGTAGAAAGTTATATGATCGAATCGAACAAGAAGTTCGCTACTCTCTCGCGGCTTAAAATGTGATAACACGCAATCTACTCTAGCGGAAAGTTAGAAAACCGTGTCCGAGGGATCGCCTCTCTCTCTCTCTCTCTCTCTCTTTCTGCCTGTCGTAAAAAACTTCAGATACCTCCGCTCTAGTTTAGACTGACACGTCGATATATTCTCTTATCGCCGACGTCCAACAGACTAGTCTAATTCAGTCGACACATCTCGCGCTAATGATATTAAAAGCAGCACCGCTAATTCCTGTAAATCTCGTCTAGTCCTCTAAACGATCACGGGTGGATCTGAACGATCGACGAATCTTTTCTAAACGCGCGCGTTTTCGTGGATCATGTGCCTATATACTACGTAGTATGCGCTAGGGTAAATATGAATTTAGAAGGTACATCAAACCTCTCCGTTATCGCTCTCTCGTCTTTAACGGAACGTCCTCACGGAATCTTTCTCCTTCGAGTCACGCTGGACATTTATGTATATATTCTTCTACGTGTAAAATATCTATCCTAAGACCTCGCGAACAATTACAGGAAATCTGCTAATGTATAAAGCAAGGAACTTGGCACACGTTTGAATCTGCACTATTTTGGCAAGCTCCTTAATGAAGATCGTGATTAAATGGGCGAAGAGTAAAATAGCGACGTCGTTTTTCAGCTTAGCAATTAATATAACGTATCCGAAGAAAAGCACGCGGGGAATAATTTTGATTCTATGCGTAAATTATTAAAGAATGACGTTTTACACGTAGACGCCCAGCCTGCCGATGCTAGTTGGTATAAATGTGTAAAAAGTGGGACCGTACATCTAAAATTCGTTTCTGCCTTCTAGTTGTCTATTGTAAAACAATTTTCTATGCTCCATCTATTCGAGTCCGGCCGCAATCACGCCGATATTAGACGTAAGAGAAATGAAGAATCCGTAGAGCGCGACCGTGCTTTTGACAATTAGGATTTACAATCTCGTGTATACTCGTCGTGTATATATATATATATATATATATATATATGTATACACATAGAACCTAGCGATTTAAGGGGAGAAACTAGCGAAGGGATAAATTGTACATGCGCTCGAATGCTGGACATGTGTGACGCGTTGTTGTCGGAGAGCACTTGCCGCAATCTTTATCCGGAATCAAAGTTTTATTTTACTTTCCTGTGATTCAAAGACGTAATAACATACAGATAGACAAACGATAGCGTTCTAATTCATTATCAGTTATTGTAAGATACCGTTATTGGCTATTATTAAGCTATAATTTATTTTAAGATCCTATTTATATAGATAAGATATAAAATCTATTCCTCCTGCGCACGGAGGATTTTAAGAGAGATCCTATTTAGATAAGGTCTATTCCTCCCGCACATATGCTGACGTTCTCAAGAATACAGCATATGATGACATTACATCGAGTGATTTGTGTGCGACGCGTTTCTTTAGTGCGAACGGCAATCCTAGGTCACACTGAAAATTGTCTCAAAGTTTCGCAACGAAATAACGAGAACGTGTTACCCACTCACTTTTGTATGCGTCTTATACACACTCTTCGCACAGAGACGATCGAATTTTCAAATTTACCTACAGCATTAACGACTTGCCCGACAAATAAATTCAATAGGTGAAACTGACGTTCGTGATTTGCGCCGGAATTGATCCTATAGATTCTCAATCTCTACAAATGGAGAAAAATTTGCTACTGAAATTACAATAATCCTTCAACGGGTGCATTCTGCTATTACAGCAAAACTGTCGCTATTTTGGAAGCAAAATCATTTTTAGATACCCACCAAAAATTATCTTTAACAAATAAAATTTTAATATTCATACATTTACTATCCGATAACTGACAAAATTTATTACAACGTAAAATGTACCGCGTAAGCTTTTTACAACGCGAACTTTATCCTCCGGTATTTACGTAGTTCCTTAATGTGGCATCCATAATGGATCTCTTCTTTACGATAGATTAATTTAAATAATTAAGAACGAAAAATTATATCGTTCATTTGAACTTTATTCAAAATAACGCAGCATTGTAGATATGATATCGTGGCATATATAAAAATAGTTGTAAAAAGGAAGCGAAGAAAGACGATTACACATATTATATATAATCGAGAATTTAAATGATAAATGATTAGGATTATAATGTTACCTTCTTTTTCATTGGGAATTTAAAGGTCGGAAACTAATTGGAACTTGATAGCAAGTTTCCACTTTGCGCTTATAAAAATTTCGCGAAGTACGGGCAAATCCAGAACGACAGCAATTCTTCACACAACAAACAAATCTTTCAATCTGAGAAATGAAAGAGAAATGGATATACAGAGTCTCTAACGAACTATTCGACGTGTTACATGTAATATCGATTATTAATTTTACGATTAACTGTTGTTAAGTACAATTGTAATAATCACAAGGAACAGTTTTGCAAAGATTAAGTAATGTAATTGTAATGCAATCAAATAAATTTATTCTTGCGTATCTTGTTTTTTATTAGATGCCATATTTTCTCAAAGTTGTCGACTAACAAGCAAACGTACGCTGCTAATTTGTTCGTGCCTGTTTCTGCCTTTCATATTTCGGGGGGAAGCAAAGATACGTATTTTTCTAGAGAAAATATATTGTTGTTTATTGTGGACAGCGTTCGCGATTGGATTTGCGATCGTACTTCGTATTGCGAAGAATAATATTCTGCGATCTGTTTAACTAACTAATAATACTCTCGTAACGTTAATGCTGACGCGAGATATGTACCATGATGTACTAAATACAAAACGTCAAAAAAAGATTCATGCGAAAGAGTGTCCTCTATATTTTAATACTTTTAGATTAATATTTGAAGATTTATATTCAATAGCAACACTTGTAACAGTACCGTCGATACTGTATAAAAATCTTGCGTAGGTTGTTTTATCTATCGCTCTCACCGATGATTAGTGGTCACAGCGGAAATAACATGGATATCCAAAATAGGTCATCTCGTACATTCTTTTGCGCCCTTTATCTTTCGCAAATAAAGAATGTCAAGTTCTTTAAGTTCAAATTTCTCGATATTATTTCAAAAAGCGATTTACCAAAGTTTTTGTCACAAGTAATAATTAAATAAGAAAAGAATTAGTAATTCCTAAATATCCAAAATATCAATATATTTTAATTTAATTGCAAATAAATTGGGTGAAAAATCCGACTTACTTTTCGATGTCCGAAGATTAATGAAAAATAGATAAGATTTTTTTTGTGTGATTATTATCACTGAGATTTATGCCTTTGATGCACTTTTTTACAAATTACTTTTTTCAACGTGAGATTTTCGACGCTGTATCGAACTCCTTTTTTGGTTTAATGACATTAGAAAAAGTATCACGGGTCCGGAGATGATGTGCGAGGCATCAGCACGCAACGCAACAACGGACGAGAGATCATAATGACTCTGATATAATACACGCGTACAACTTTCTGTGGCAAAAATGTTTTGCAAGTGTCCTTCCAATTGTGAATATGGGTAGTGCGCTCTCAAGAATTTACGACAGTCTTAGATTTAGACGGGCTTGCTGCTGTACATTACAGTGGTCCATTTGTGAATTGCGACATCGATAGACGCGATCGAGTATATGAGTAGAAGAACATATGTAAAAATATATAATAGGACGATGCGTTTATAGATGATGCAAATCTCGATGGACCAAATGTATCACGCATCGTACTATTTAAACGTATATGCGTATACATACATAAAACGTACCAAATCTATATGAATGTATGTATATGTGTATATGTATAAAATAAGATGCGTATACGCATAAATAGATAAATGCTGATAATATTTTCAAGAATCTTGCGTAATATTCGATCTGTCAAGTATTATACCTTTGCGACAGCATTACCTATGTAATTATAAATATAACGATGTACATAATTATACTATTATTATCGAATATAAATAAAAGTTGAATATATCATATCAAACTATTTATATTTAATACATACTTTTTAAATGTGCTTTTAATATGATGCTCTCTAAAGATTTGTCCGCCGGACAAAACTGACGATATCCTAACTATACGTTTTTTTATTATGGTTATATTGCACGTTCTTCTTGTGCAGCTTAATATTTTTCATCAAACTAAATTATAACTTTCAGCATGAAAAATTTGCATACAATTATTGCTTCGATGATTGATTCAAATTAAAAAATTAAAAAAGAAGTGATAAAAAATTAATATGCATTGATTTACAATATGAGATAAAAATCCGTTTTTTTAAATACAGGTTTTAACATTCGGCAAAAACCAAATGCTCAAAGTACCAGAACGAACTTGATAAAAAGCCTAGAACACGAGGAAGAAAAACAAGTTTTTAACAGTTTCACTTTTTTCAGTGGATCCTTCCGTAATAAGATATGATTCTCCATTATCTGAACCTTCAACTTGCAAGAAATAGTTTGTAGTGTGCCGATTGGTAAAATTGTATCATGTAACATGGCATTAATTACGATACTTTTTCCATTACTTGTTCTGTAAATAAATATAAATACATATAACATACATTATATGTTATGTGAAGTGTATACAAGTGTTCTATAATTTTCCACTAATTAGCACTATTTCTGAAAAATAAACAAGTAAAAATTACAACTTTCTTGTAACAAACGAAAAATATAAATGTTTCGGATAGTAGAAAATTTTATATAATTTCAAATTTCAATATTAAAAAAGAAAGAAATAAAAAATAGATATAAATTAGAAAATAGAGTAAACTATTTTAAGACTGATACAAAAGCTGCAAATTCTAATTTATATATAAGCTTTGACCTTTACTGCTTCTTCCACTGTTACAAGATCACGATTACGTAACAGTGGACAGAGTCTCGGCTAAATACTGAAAGTGAAAAAAATTATATAAAAAAAAGACCGCAGACGGGGACTCGAACCAGCGATCTCGCACTTACGAGACACGAGTGCTACCCGATGAGCCACGTAGTCACTAAAAGATATACCGTACACCACAGTCTTACTAGAAAATTTTTAACTTCTTTTAACTTTTAACTTCTTTTAACTTCTTTTTACTTCTTTTTAGGACGAATGCGCGAGAGGCGCGCGCTCATATTTTCGCAAAATCTTTTCCCCATTAAGGACTACACATAGAAAAATCACCGCTCAAATAGGCAAGGGGCACCGCGTTGACTCGATTCGCGCAGTACCGCGCATGCGCCGGCAATTGGCGCCATTCGAGGAGCACAGCGGACACGCAGTGCGATCGTGCTCCCGACGATCATCGCGACGCATTTCAGGACAGCACGCACAACAACGCACAGTGATCCCAAATCCCAAAAACCTGGCCAAAAGTCAATATTTCGAAGTACTCTATAATGCATAATTATTGGTGTTTTTATTATTACATATGTCTGAACTATAAGTCAGTACATGGATAATAATTTAAAATGATTTGTTGTAATGGAATCGGCTATCGAAGTTGTTTAATCATTTGCGGCGTGACACCTTTTTTTTTTGTTTTTCGGCAGGAAGAGAAAATGGCTCGACCATTTCCTATGGGCCGGCCCATAGGGGTATGTGGGATTTGCACCGCACTAAAAACTCTCCCTCAAGACCTCTTATTGGGTCGGCGTCAAGAACCGGGGACCGCCGAAGCATACTCCAGTCCTTGACAACCCTCGCGACATGCGCCCGAAATGCTTCTAACCTCACAGTACTTAATTGCGTACGAGTAGCAAAACCTAACCTAAAACCATGTGTATTCCTAGGAAATTTTTTTTCCCCGCCACATGACACCCAGTTTCTCGGTTTGCACATCCGACAAACCGAGAGATAAGTTTCCTGACGGGAACCGCGCCGCCGCAACGCCAGCAACAACGGCCCCCTCGCCCCCAAGGACGCGAGCAATCGTGCAGGATATACCGCAGCTATTCGAGGAGGACTCCATCCGCACGCAACCAAGTTACACGCCGATAGGAGCGCCCCCGTGCGCGTCCCCTCGCCGGATGGCCGCACGAGATGCGGACTCGCCCAGCCATCCTTTGAGCCGCAGCCGCCGCAGCATCCACACGAAAGCCCACGTCGCGGGCCGGGGTGCGAGGCCCCATCCTGGGGCCCCGCGTCCCAGCCCACTCTCTATCGTCCTCCCACAATGAGAGGATCCCGTCGCCCTCGCCACATCCGCGCGCGCGCACCCCATTCACCACCTTATCTCCCCATTTCCGCGCGCGCAGCTCTCTCATATTCCGTCCGTCCCCCCTCGCGGCCGGAACCAGGTGAGATGGGCCCCCCCCCCCGGGGCCTCCACACAGGGGAGACTCGGGGGAGGGGGGCCCACCCCCTGCAGCAGGAACGGGGCCGTCCGAGGCCCCCCCCAGAAGAGGGGGGGTCCCGAAGGCCCCCGTCCCCGCCGCCCTCTTCATACCTGTCATTCAAGGGGCTTCAATCCTCTGAGCGGTCCAGGTGGTCGTCCGAGTCCACTCCTCTGATCCCCGTGCTCCTCCAGCGCCACGGCCATCTAGCACCCTTCCCCCCGCGGCCATTTGGGCTTCCCGCTCCTGTTCTTGGCGTCTCCGTTCAGCCTCCTCCTTGCTCCTCATTACCCTCTCGACGAAGAGAGAGAAAGCGGCCCACTTCTCCCTCGTCTCGACCATCTGTTGCACCACTCCTCTCAGAGACAGGTCTTCTCCAATCACCGTGGTTAGCTCCGCGCGTTCCGCACTCCAGGTTCTGCAGTCCGCAATCGTGTGCTCTGCTGAGTCGATTTCCCCTTCCCCTCCTTCTTCCCAGCAGTACGGGCACACCGCCTTACCTATCCGTCTGAGGTAGGTCCCAAAGCACCCGTGACCCGTCAGCAGCTGGGTTATCCTAAAGGTAACTTTTCCGTAACCCCGGTTCATCCATTCCTCAAACACTGGTAGTATAGCCTCTCTTGTCCTAGCACCCGCGACATTTAGCTTTCCCAGGTGCTCTCTCCACTCCGCTCTAGTCTGTTCTGAGATTTCCGCCCTTGCCTCCTCAGCCGCCTCCCTGGTCCACGCTCCGGCCGCCCGGGCAGCGCTGCCCTTCTCGTACAGTCTCTCCCTCGCCGTCAGCAGAAACTCCACGGGCGGCACCCTGACCAGAAGCGTTGCCGCGTCCAGCGAGGTCGTCCTGTATGCCGCCGCCATCCGCAGTGCTATCGTTCTTTGAACGCCTCTTAGTATAGGGTGCAATCTCCTGTTTCTGCTATATGTCGGACTCCACACCGGCGACGCGTATATCACAACCGACAAGACCACAGTGTAAAATAGTCTTCTTTTATGCTCGCTTGGTCCTCTTAAGTTCGGCATCAATCTGCTCAGGGCCCCGCTCATATTGAGTGCCTTAGCCGCCACTGCCTCCAGGTGTGGTCTGAAATACCACGCGGAGTCGATCGTCACCCCCAAGTATTTAAGCTCCCTCCCTATCTTATGTTAAGATTGTTAAGATTGGCAAAACTGCTTCTCTCATAGAGACAGTATAGAGTAAAGATTGGTGCGCCTGTTTCTAGATTTATGTTGGCACCTTTGCGCGTGCGCAGAATAGTTTTTTTTCTTTTTTAAGCTCTCCACGGATCTCGGCAGATACTTTGGGTGTCGTATATTTTTGTCCGTTGCTGTATCCAGAATAAACGCATACGTTATTGTAAATCTACCTACGGAAGAACTTATTTTCCCAAGGATTCACACACACATTGGCATACACATAAAACTTCAGGTTATGGGCCCAGTGTGCCCAGTGTGCCTAGGTGTATAAAAGTTTTATCGGTGCTTGATCCTTGTGGCGAGAACGTGGTCAGAAGCAATGGCGGATGTGGAGAAGTATAAGATTCCTTTATTCGACGGTACGAATTTTGGGAATTGGAAATTTAGGATGGAGACGCTTCTAAATGAACTGGAACTGCTGGAATTTGTGAAGGAACCATATAATACAATGGTTGCTTTTCTGGATAGGGACACGGCAGAAGAAAAAGTTAGGAAAGAAACAGAGCTTAAGAATCTGGAAAAACGTGACCGGAAATGTCGCTCGCAGATTATCCAACGTGTAGCAGATAGTCATCTAGAATATGTGAAGGATTGCGACAGTGCGCATGGTATTTGGATGCTGTTAACGGAAACATTTGAACGGAAGAGCATTGCGAGCCAGCTATTATTGCGGAAGAAACTCCTGTCAATGAAATTCAATCCGATTCGAGAAACATTGGCGGATCATTTTCTAGCCTTTGATAGAGTGATTAGAGAGTTACGGTCAACGGGCGCCACGCTGGAAGAGACAGACATGGTCTGCCATCTATTGCTGACAATGCCAGTGAAATTCAACCATGTTGTTACGGCAATCGAGACGCTCACGGCGGACAAACTGACAATTGCGTTCGTGAAGAACAGGTTAATGGACGAGGAAGCGAAACGTGCTGACTTCAGTAAGAAAAAGCAGACTCAAGCAGAATCGTCGGCGGCTTTCTCAGCTCATCAAAACAAGACGAATTCTTCGGGAAAATCGAGGACAGGCGGAGGAAATCGATTTAAAATTCGCTGTCATAATTGTGGTGGACTCGGACATAAACGTGTAGAGTGTAAGAAGAATCAATCAGACAAGCAGGAGAAATCGGCGAATACAGCAGTAAGTTCTGATACTGTGAAACCGAAAGACGAGTCACAAGCGTATAGTTTCGTGTCATACACGGAGAGGAATGAAATGCCGGACATTGCATTAGACTCAGGTGCTACGGAGCACTTAGCGAATGAGAGGTTAGTATTAAACAAAGTGAAAACTCTCGAGCATCCTGTAAGAGTTAAGGTAGCTAAATCCGGGGTCGTACTTCACGCACATAAAGTAGGTGAATTGGAAGTGAATAGTTTTGTGAACGGAAAGACAATACAAATTACGATTAAAGACATGTTAATTGTTCCGAACTTAGATCATAACCTTCTCTCAGTACGAAAACTTGAGAGAAGCGGTTATCGCGTCGTGTTCGAAAACGGAATGGGGGTTATCGAGAAGAGTGGATGCGTCGTGGCGGTCACGGAGAAAAATAAAAAAGGATTGTACGTGTTAAATTTACACGCCCGCGAAGAAACAGCTCTAATGTCGGAAAGTGTTGAGGTTTGGCATAAAAGACTAGGACATTTAAATTTTGATTCACTTAAAGGTTTGCCGTCTCAGGTGGAAGGAATGAATATTAAGAAAGGGGCTGAGCCAGTCGGTGTGTGTGGAGTTTGTGTTGGAGGGAAGCAGACGAAACTTCCACACAATCAAAAGCGTGTTCGGGCAACCAGACCGTTACAACTCATACATAGCGACGTTTTTGGTCCAATTACTCCAATGTCATATGATGGATGTAAATACATTGTTACATTCACAGATGACTACACTCATTTCACAGTCGTATATGGAATGAGGTCCAAGGCGGAGGTATTCCACTACTACAAGGTATATGAGGCGATGGCTACAGCTCATTTTAACTGCAGGTTGAGCAGATTCAGGTGCGATAATGGAGGAGAATATCTGTCAAAAGAAATGAAGGAGCATTTTGAGGCTAAAGGGATCATATTTGAATTCACCATGCGATACACACCAGAACAGAATGGCGTCGCGGAGCGGCTGAATAGAACCATCTGTGATAAGGCTCGCTGTTTACTGCTAAACTCGAAGATGGGAAAACAGTTCTGGATGGATGCTGTAAGAACATCGGTGTATTTGAGCAACCGAAGTCCAACAAGCGCGCTTGAGAGGAAGGTACCAGCAGAGTTATGGTACGGAACGAAACCTAATCTTGGAAAACTGAAGATTTTTGGTTGTCTTGCATATCTTCGGCAGCCTAAACAATTAATAGGAGATAAATTTGCATCGAGGACCCTGCAATGTCAAATGATTGGATATTGCATCAATGGATATAAACTCTGGAGTCCAGAGGAAGGTAGAATATACTATGGAAGAGATGTGAAGTTTGATGAGACAAGATTTGAGATAACTTCCCTAGATAGTGATTCCTGGCTTCATGAGGCTGCAGAACGAGAAGAAAAAGCGAGTGATACTGAAGATCAAGAATCAGTGGGCTCCGTTGATGTGGCTGTTGAGGAACTCGAGAAGAATGAGGATGTTGGTCAACCAGTACTCGAGAAGAATGAGTGTGCAACGGAATCTATGAGGCGTTCAAGTACTCGAACCAAAACCAAGCCTAGATGGATGGAGGACTTTGCGGTATTGGCATACAATGCAGAAGTTTTTCTGGAAGATATACCGGGAAGATACGAGGATATCCATGGCAGAGAGGACGAGGAAGATTGGATGAATGCGGTGAAAGAGGAAGTTGACGCATTAGAACGGAGTCATACATGGACGTTGTGCGATTTACCTCAAGGAAAGAAGGTGATAGACAGTCGATGGGTTTTTAGTATAAAATGCGACAGTCAAGGTAATATCAATCGACATAAAGCAAGGTTAGTAATTAAGGGCTGTTCACAACATTATGGCTTTGATTACACAGAAACATATGCTCCTGTTGCGCGCTTGACAACGTTGAGAGTTCTTTTAGTAGTTATTAATGAAAGAAATTTAATAGTATATCAGTTGGATGTTAAGAATGCATTCTTGCATAGTGTGTTGAAGGAGGAGGTATATATGAAGGTACCAAAGGGAGTTCTAGCAAGTAGTAACAAAGTATGTAGGCTAAATAAAGCACTTTACGGTCTTAAACAGGCTCCTCGTGAGTGGAATCATACCTTTGATAGCTTCATGAAAGACTTGGGAATGTCACACTCTAGTGCAGATCGCTGCTTATATATAGGAAAGTTTCCGGATGCGATAATCTATTTATTACTATATGTCGACGATATAATTATTGCAGGAAATAGTGAGAATAAGCTTGCTGTAATAAAATCAGCTTTAATGAGTAGATTTTCAATGAAAGATATGGGAAGGCTGAACACCTTTTTAGGAATTACGGTAACAAAGACCAAAGAAGGAATGTTTCTAAGTCAACAAGCATATTATAAGAAACTACTGTATAGATTTAATATGGGTGAGTGCAAATCAAGCGAAACTCCAATGGAAACGGGTTTTGTAGTTCAAGATGGTGCTAGTATAGGTCCTGATAAGCCATATCGTGAGTTAGTCGGGTGTTTAATGTACTTAACGCAAACAACGAGACCTGATCTGAGCTTCTCTGTTAACTATCTGAGTAGATATCAAAATGACCCTAAGGAAAGTCACTGGAAAGGGTTAAAGAGAGTTTTGAGATACATTCAAGGTACCCAAGACTATGGACTCATGTTTAAAAGACAAAGTGATGCTAACAGAGAACCTCTGATTGCATTTGCTGATGCTGACTGGGGGAATGGTGAAGACCGGAAGTCGACTACAGGTTATCTTTATAAACTTTATGGTAATACAATTTGTTGGGGAACAAAAAAACAAAGTACTGTAGCACAATCTTCAACAGAAGCAGAGTTTGTTGCATTGGCTATGTGTGTAAATGAATATTTGTGGCTTAAGAATTTGCTGTTTGAGCTGGATGCAATAAGAATAGATTCACTGTTAGTGTATGAGGATAATCAATCATGCATCCATGCATTGAGAAAGTGGGAACACAAACGTCTTAAGCATATCGACATAAAATACAATTTTGTGCGGGATTTAGTTGATAATAAGAAACTTTTTGTCAATTATATCCGATCAGAAGACCAAGTTGCTGACATATTTACAAAGGCGTTGACAAAAGAAAAATTCAAAGGATTATGTAAAAGACTTGGACTTCGAACTTATGTTAATTAAAGACTCTATGTGATACAGCAGATTTGAGGCGGAGTGTTAAGATTGTTAAGATTGGCAAAACTGCTTCTCTCATAGAGACAGTATAGAGTAAAGATTGGTGCGCCTGTTTCTAGATTTATGTTGGCACCTTTGCGCGTGCGCAGAATAGTTTTTTTTCTTTTTTAAGCTCTCCACGGATCTCGGCAGATACTTTGGGTGTCGTATATTTTTGTCCGTTGCTGTATCCAGAATAAACGCATACGTTATTGTAAATCTACCTACGGAAGAACTTATTTTCCCCAAGGATTCACACACACATTGGCATACACATAAAACTTCATCTTAACCATAGCCCCCCCAATCACAATCTCCCTAATCCTACGCATCCTCGGAAATGCTACTATTTCCGTCTTTTCCTCGGCCAAGGTCAGCCCCATTTCGTCTAATCTCCTCCTAACCAAGCGGACCGCGTCCTCCGCCAGATAACATACCCCCTGATCATCGTCCCCGGTCACCACGATCATTGTATCGTCCGCGGACCCAAACGTCTGATACTCAGGCGGCATTCTTTGCCTAAGCACGA